CAAAATGGTGTTTGTTGTCACAATGTGTCTTGTAGTGGCTTATATGCAGACAAATGAACTGATAATATTTACTTAAGTAAGAGTTCCACTGGGGTTGGAGAGATGGCTCAGTGGTGAAGAGTGATGGCTGCACTTCCAGAGGACCTGGGTTCAAATCCCAGCACCCACATGGCAACTTATAATATAACTGTCTGCAACTTCAATATCTGACACACCCTCACACAGACATATGTGCAGGCAAAGAAATGTACTTTAAAAAAAAGTTCTACTGGTAAAATTAAATTATATTGAAACTAAGGAAATTAAAGCACTTTGTTAAATGTACGAAAATGTTCTAAGCCTACTATTTTGTATAACTGTGATAATTCAAAAGAAAAAAAACTGCATTGTGATATCAGTTTTCAAAATAAAATTTATAAAAATCTTATGAAAGCCCACCAAAGAGACTCAGGCACACCTACCTACACACAGCCACAAGGGAAAACTCACCAAAAGTAAAAATGTATGCACACTCTTTGACCCAGAAACTTAAGATGCTATCCTGGACATGCATGCATGTTTACCCAAGCAAAGATGGGTAATCGTGACAATAGTAATTAGAAATCATTGAAGTCCATCAGTAAGGAACTAGATGTCCGTTACTACTCTTCTCAAAAACCCTCTAGGAAAGCCAGGTGTGTGGTGCACAAGCCTCTAATCCTAGCACAGGAGGCAGAGGCAGGCAGATCTCTGAACTTGATGACAGCCTGGTTTACACAGTGAGTTTCAGGACAGTTGTCACTGTGTAGAGAGACCCTGTCTCAAACAAACAAAATTCCATTAAAAAAAAAAAAAAAAAAAAAAAAAAAAAAACTGGCCACAGCAAGGCTTGGTGGCATACACCTTTAATCCCAGCAGAGGCAGGTGAATCAATCTAAGTTTAAGGCTAGCCTTGTGTACTAACAAATTCCAGGCCAGTGAGGGCTATATTGTGAGACTCTTGCTTCAAATACAAACAAAAAGAGAGTGATGGAGAAATGGCTTACTGGTTAAGAAAGCACAGTTACTGAGGACCTGATTTCAGTTCCCAGCACCCACACTGTGGCTTTCAATCATCTGCTATGCACACATTGTACACATACAAACACATTAAAAAAAAAAAAAAAAAAAAAAAAAAGGCTAAAAGGCTAAAGCCCCTTACTGTATCTTTCACCAAAGAAAATACTGAAAACACAAGATGCTCCACAGCACATGATAGTCAGAGAAATGAAAGTTCTAACAAGCTACACACTAAGTGGCCAAAATCCAGAACACTGACAAAGAATGAGGAGAAATAGCAACTAGAGCAATCTACTGTTGTCTCTTGAAAAGTTGGCAGTTTCATGCAAGCATATTGAAGATCTAGTAGGGGAGTGTATCTAGTTCTCTTGACTGGAAACAAAAATGGTCTCCCTCTACTGGGTAAAGGCATCCTCTTTGACAGAGCACCCACACAGTTTTGAAAGAGACATACATGGTGTGAAGGAGAAAGTTATCCATTTAGCCAGAGATCAGCCATACTGCTGCTGTTGATCAATTGGGTGACAATTCATCTTCACATCCAAAAGTAAACCCAATCATGCTCCTTGTTATTTACACAAAGGTGTTAAATTTAAATGTCTACAAAAACAAAAACCCGAGCCAAATACTAAAAACCAAATCCACCATTTTAATGGTAGAGTAGCTTTATTCTCAATTACCTCAACTAGAAAGTTAAGATATCCTCCAGCAGGCAAAATGGAACTGGTAGAATATCCAACTGTGATCACTAAAGAAATGAGTTATCAAGCAACAAAAAGGGGCAGGGGATGTAAAGGTTAAAATGCTTAATACTAGGAAACAAGAAAACAATATTGCTGGAATTTAGTGCATCTATGGTCCCAGCTATTCAAGTTAAAGGCAGCAGCAGGATCACGTAAGCCCAGCCTACATTTAACAGAGGGTTGAAAAACCACAAGAATTTAAATGGTCCTCATCGCCTATCAGATGAATAAACCAGAATAAAGTACTATTTTTGAACCCAGAGAGTTGGGGGTAATATCAATTTTGTTGTGATCAATCTCCTTCAATAACTCAATTTCAGCAAACTGATCAAGTATAAAAACCTTACATTTTGCTGAGTTTATATCTGACTCAAATCTGTACCAGTTAAAGTAATTTTCTCCAAATATTCAACCTGCATGCTGTTGCTTCTTTTCATTTTTAAATTAAAGGCTCTTCCCAGGCCTGGTGGCCCACTTTTAATCACAGCACTCATAAGGCAGAGACAGGTGGATCTCTTGAATTCAAAGCCAGCCTGGTTTATAGAGCTAGTTTCAGGACAGCCAGGGCTGTTACACAGAGAAACCCTGTCTCAAAAAAGCCAAGCAGGAATGGTGGCAGGTGCTTGTAATCCCAGCACTCAGGGTGTTCAAGATCAGCCTGCTACAAGGATTATAAAACTGTCTCAAAAAAGTAAAATGGGGAAAAGCAGGGAGTCAGAGTTCCAGGTCAGGTCAGAGGAGGCTGATGGTTGTTGTGGCACACTGTCAATCGTAGGACTCAGAAGGAACAGGCAGGTGGGTCTCTATGAATCCTAAATCAGCCTGGGTTATACAATGAGATCCTATTTCAACTCCTCCCAGCCCAACAGACCTGAGCCAGGCATGGTTACAGGCCTATAATCCCAATATTCAGGAAACTGAGGCAAGACTACCACTAATTCCAAGCCACCTTGGAATTAGCAATGCCTTGTCTCAAAAGACCAGTTCTGAGTCAGCCTTGTTAAATCCAGCATTCCAGGGCAGCCTGGACTAGAATGTGATCCTACCCACAAAATAGTTCTTTATTTTTTTAAAATTATGTATATAGTATTTTTTCTGCATGTATATCCGCAGGCCATTAGAGGGCACCAGACCTCTGCAAGGGCAGCCAGTGCTCTTAACTGTTGAGCCATCTCTCCAACCCCACAATTCTATATTCAGATGTTTTTATACTAAAGTACTATATGTGTTTAAGAGCATGGCTGCTATTCCAAAGGACCTAGGTTCAATTCTCAAAAATCATGTCGACCCACAATTGTAACTCCAGTTCCAGGGGATCCTACACCTTCAGATATATGTGTAGCCAAAACACCAATGCACATAAAATATGTAAAATTTAAAGAAAATTAATCTTTAAAGAAAATACAACTTAGTCATGTGATGTAGTCAAAGCCTGCTGAGAGAGCTCTGTGCATCCTATTCTTCTGTATCCAAGGATTTTAAAAGTCCACTTTTTTTCTTTAAATTCTCAGGCTGATAGTGGTGACACAAACCTTTTCATCTCAGCACTGGGGAGCAAGAGGCCAGCCTGGTCCAGAATGAGTTCCAAGCTCTGGCTTGGAACTCTGTCTGGTGGGAAAGCCTCAGGTGGTGCAGGTTAGATTTCACATCCTCCAGCACAGCCTCGAAATACAGATTGTCACTATGCCTAGTCTCAAACTTACTGCCTACTAACTATAATGACCTCTTTTGGGCACTGTTATTCCCCAAAGGCTAAAATTAAAGTTACAAACTTTCAAATTAGGGCCTGAGCTAAGTGTTAAGCAGAAAAGGGAATGAGATAGATCAACACTTTTACTATTCAGTAGTGGTCACAACCTTGGAACTGCACTGAGCAGCACACTGACCTACAGAACCAATACTCTTGGAAAGGCAATACTGTTTACTAGGATATTTTTTTTTTTTTTTACTCCATTCCATCCCTTTAGGTTGTCATATCTAGAATGCTACTAGTTAATCTTAAAAAGCTATATGGTTGATTGTAGCTTTTGGCTCAGATACCATATTTCCAAAAACTGAGTATCAAGATTATTTGTTCAATCTTTACAGATTTATTGTTGAACAAACTTAATTTTCTTTGAATACAGAATTAAAGCTAACCAAGTGCAACAAATAGGTCTGCCCATTATACACATAGCTTCATACCATGTAATCAAAATTCTAAAAACAAAGAATTCAATGACTTCAACACACTAGTGACCAGCCAATAAAGTTGAGGCAGACCAGTATTCAAGTTGCAATACCAGACAACTTTGTTGAAAAAAGCCTAAAATGGACAAGGACAGACTCCTATGCTACTTGTTTTTACACCAAGGCTGAAATATAGCAAAAGTTTGTCCAAAAAACTTGAAAATAACTGTTACTACCCTTAATGTTTAGTATACTTAAAAGTCTGAATAAGAATCTATACCATTCTAAGGTCTACCAGATACTATTCAAAACAAACAAAAAATCCAAAACAAAAGCTACATGAAATGTTACTAAATATGTGAGGTTTACAAAACTGCTTTGTCTCATTACCATTTTTTCTTAACATCTCTTTATACCAGCTTGGCAAAATAAAGCAGTGTCAGAAACTGCAAAATCTAATTCAGATATTAACAAGTTTTTGCACAGGATAAGGCAATCTAGTCAAAGGAACAGAATATTGGGGCTGAATAATTTTGCAAAGCTGGTTTACAAGGTTTTGTTCCAAATTCAAACAATTCTTCAAACATGCATTTTTGGTATTAAATTAAATTAGAAAGGAAAAAAAAGTATACTAAGCAAACATCTCCCCAACTTAATAGTCTGAAAAACCACCCAGCTACTAAGATTTCAACCTCTAGAAATCAGCTTCTTTCTACTTAATATGACATTTATGCTAAGTTCCTGTCATGCACCCATTTATAGGCTAAATCAAAATGGTCCCTCCAGCTTGGCAATTTGAGATTGTTAACTCGAATTCTAGTTAACACCAATTCTCAATTAGTTATGGATCTGCCATGATGCATTCATGCTATTAACAGGACTCAAGATCATTTAAAATCCTGGCCAGTGTTATGTATAGAACAGTTAATGATGTTTAATACTTAACCAACACCATTAAACTTTGAGTACAGGCCAATATAAATACAGTCAACATTTTGACACCTGATGTTACTAAATTGAGAAGTATTAATATTGAACACAAATCAAAAATCTAGTTAGAAACATTTTATTTAAATGTGCCAAATAAAAACCCACATTTTCAGACCATAAGATGTTAATACATTCAACAAAAACATACTTAACTGCTGTGAATTTTACAGAGCAATATAATAACCCAGATCCATTTTGATTAGATGATGGTTGATGATCCTTCCTAGGTTACATTTTACAGACATTAACAAATCCCTTATAATAATGTAAACAAAACTTTTCCCTTAAGGGCGAATTTGAGAACTTCAGTCCATTCTTTCAGGACTTGCACTTCTTCGTGGACTTCCTGATGGGGAACGACTAAAAAGAAAAGCATTAAAGTTTGGAACCAATTAGTTTAATGAGGCTTCCTCTTCCTACATACAAGAAGTCAGAGCAATTCAGTATTTCAAAACATTTAAAGGGATCAAATTCCTATGGTCAAAGTCCTAACATAAATTTATATTACCCCCCACTTGCTTGGTATTAATTCTTAAAAATTCTTATTTAATTACCTTGTGAATTATGTGCACAAGAATGCAAGTACCTGGAGAGGCCAGAGGTATCAGACCTCCACCTGACATGAGTGTTAGAAACTGTACTAGAGATCTTCTGGAAAGAACAGTAGGCATTCTTAGCCACTCAGTTATCTCTCTAGTGCCAGCATTAGGTTTTTAAGAACCCATCAGTCAAAATCACAAGGTTACACTAAATAGGACAACTATTTGTGGGGGATGGGCATTAAGGGACATAAACAGTAATAATTTAGTTGAAAGATTTTAATTGCAATTAAGATAATGTTTTTGCTGACATTTCCTTTTCAGCTATTTACACATGGGGGGGGGGGACAAACAAAAAAACATGTCTTTTCTGTCTTTAATTTTTGGTTTCTCTGTGTACCTTTGGAGCCTGTCTTGGAACTAGCTTTGTTCCTCCATCCATCTGGCAAAACCATGTTTCTTAATCATAACATTCCTACAACTAAGGACAAAGGACTAAAAACCTTAAATTTCTCCAACACAGTTAATTCCAAGTAAGTTTTAACTAATACAGAGTAAAAAAAAAAAAAAAAATCATTCAAAACATGTTAATCCCCAATCTATACAGCACCAATTCTCCAAAGAGCTCAAAGACCACTTAAGTAGGCAGTTAAGATCTCAAGAGGCCAAATTTTGTTAAGATTTGGCAACAAAACATTTTGCTTACCTTCTTTTAGGAGATGGAGATCTGGATTTTGATCGGCTGTCAAAACATGAAAAATTCTAGTAAGAAAAGGCACTAATGAATCTCATAGCCCTACTACAAAAACAAACCCCAAATTATAATTAAAATACCATATTGCAGCTGGGCAGTGGTGGTACACACCTTTAATCCCAGCACTCAGGAGGCAGAGGCAGGTGGATCTTAGTTTCCAAGACAGCCAGGAATGTTATACAGAGAAACCCTGTCTTGAAAAACCACACTCCAACTAAATTCCAGGTCCTATCACATTTTCTTTAGAAAGGAAATCTTAAAAAATGGCCCACATTTCCATAAAATGAGTGAACTGCTCTATTATTACAGTTCATCTTCTACATTCTGCTATAAAGTACATTTCTCGGAATGTTTCTTTATGCACCTGTAACTTTTAAGACCTCTTAACCTCCAAAGTAATGTTAAGTCTTGTAACATTAACTTCTCTATGTATAAATGAAGTTTTCATTTGGGTTAATATAGTTATTTCTTTCTACCTAACACTCAAGCTTTGGGCTAACACCCAAGTTTTAGTAATTTACAACACTTTGAACTCTTTGGATATTGGTGCTATATAATTAAGAGCACTAAATCAGTTTTTTCTTTCTTTCTTTTTTTAAACCCTACCTGCTTCTTGGCCGTGAAATAGACCTGGATCTTGATCTTGACCTGGATCTTGATCTTAATAAAAATGAAAGGGAACACAATTACACAAGCGTTCTTTTATATCTAAATACCTTTCCAGGTGGTATAAATAGGACAGAGGAGCTAAGACAACTGCTGTATGACTCTTATATCAATCCAATGCAGTGGAAATGATCAGAGACTTCAAATACAAAGAGAACCATTCTTTCATGTATCTGCTCTGTCATACCCAATTGGTCACTACTACTGTGCAGTCCCATTTTCAAACACTAATAACCAAGATTAACAGGTGGTTCCATCTGAGAAAATAGCTATGACTTGACTTTTTATTCTTATCTTGGTTGACTTAATTTGCCAAGCCAAGTTGACTATCTTTCAAAAACTTTAAGGATTTTATAAGTCAATATAGAAATGGTACAATAATTTTCTCAAATTGATTAAGTTTTGTGTATTAAACAGCAATAAAGGCCAGTGTGGCTCTTATACACAACTGCTTCTTCATCTGTAGTACAAATTCCTTATTTATGAAATATGTATCCAAATATAAGGTTTTCAGCTGGTGTGATGGCATACACTCTTAACCTCAACACTCAAGAAGCAGACAGGTTCTGTCTGTCCAGAGTCTCAAATAATATACTCATTACAAAAATTTTAAACCTTGTATTTCCTTTACTGAATGCATGTTTGAGTAGGTGAATGCCAGAACCTTCCAGAAGAACTCAGAGCAACTTGTGGTAACAGGTTCTCTTTACCCTCCACGTGGGTTCCAGGCTTGATGGCAAGCTTTGTAGTCAAACATTTTCTTCAGCCAGCTGTCATCATGCTACCCAGATTATTCACTGGAATAATTTATTTTAATTGTTCCCCTTCTGTCCTCAAATCCCCAAGCCCAAGTAACACTACTTGTCTCAAAGTGCTAGGATTACAGGAGTAGTATCTCACCACACTTAATAAACAACCTTTACATCGCACATATTCTGAAGTATCTCATTTAATGAAGGTACTGTGTCATTAAGACATGACAGTCCATCTACAAATTAAGCAGGAAAAATGTGTTACATACTGGAAATACCTCGATCCTTTTATAGAACCAGACCTAGATCTTCTGAGTGAAGCTGATCTTGATCTACGAAGAGACACAGACCTTGATCTTCGAGGGGATGCTGATCTTGACCTAAAAATTAAAAGACAGTCTAAGACATTTCCCCAGCTGTTAAAACTTGTGGTAACACATGGTTTTACTCCCAGCACTCAGGAGGCAGGAGGATCTCTGAATTTGAGGCCAGCCTGAGCTATACGAACTCCGGGACAGCCAGAGCAATTACAGAGAAACTCCTCAAAAAAGTCAAAACCCCCTAAAATTTTACATTTACCTCCTTCCCCGGCTCCTGCTTCGTGAGCGAGAGTATCGCCTTCCCCTGGATCTGGAATGTGATCTAGATCGTGACCTATTTTTCAATTTAGAAAAATACAAATTATTAGAGGATACCTCGGTTTTAGTGCTTGTGTACCTCTGCTGAAATCAAATCTCAAAAACTATTTAAAATTTAGCATCTCATTTGGAAAAACTCTGGGCCTATACTTTTTTTTTTTTACTACCTAAAAAAAGACTTGTTAAAAGCTGAATTACAACTTAGAATTACAAAATATAAAACACCATAATGTGTATTTAAAATAAACCTTGCAAGTTTGCAGGTCGACCCTCTTTGGCCCATGGTCTAGTAGTAGGTCTAGTAGATCTAGACGATCTAGAAGTATCTATAGCCGATCGCTGCATCTAGATGTTTTCTTCAATCTAACGACGATCAAACTGACAGCCAAAAGAGCCAGGTGAGGCTTGATTGACGCAAGAAGATTTTTCTAGTTGGGAATGTGGTCAATCTGGTGTTCCTCTTTCTAAAGCGGAGGGGGGCCCCAATTGTAAGCCAAATTTACTGTTACGGCGATCACCGACTCAAATTTTCTGCCCTTTAAAGAATAAGGTGAAGCTAGGTGTAGATGACTCGAGGGGATCTGGCCTCTTATGCTGATCACCTCAAGGTCTAGGAGGATCTTAATTGTCGGATTTGCAAGGCGCCTCAGCATGATATCATAAGGCTCGTGACATTCTGAATCAAGGCGACTGACTCAAACGAAGAAACCTGAAAGGTTTTGACCAGGTTGATTATTAATATATTAACATTTTTAATTAAACAAAAATTGTAAAATACACCTGTACAATTAACATTCAAGTTTATAGAAAAACACTAGTTTTCTGCCTTGCTAATAAAAGAATTACTTTGATTAACTAGAATACCAACCATTCCTTTTTTAATTAAATACCTGCTTCTTCTTCGACGGCTATAGCGATGACAATCATAAGCATAATGTCCCTTTTCACCACACTCATAGCATCTATCATTAGGATCAAAGGGACGTCGGGCAGGTGGCCTATCAAAACGAGATCTCCGAGGCATGCCTGTCGATAATTCAACTCTCACTCGAGAACCACAAATCACCCTGCAACAATAAGAAAACACTAAATATCCACATGACTTCTAAAAGAAATCTACCAACTACTCATTCCCACTACAAAGTCTGTCTTTGTTTACAAAGCTCTTTCAATTCCACCTTTGGTTCTAAATCTTAAAATTATCAGGTGCCTGTAATGCTAGCACAAGAGAGGATGATTCAGGAGGATGGCTGCATCCACTACCTGAGTTACATGGTGAGCCCAGGGCCAGCACTATCTTTTAAAATACAATGCCCACCCCCACCCCTCCAGATCAGAGAAATCTGATTAAAACCAAGCCCATAGGAATATTTTGAACGCACTTACTTTCCATCCAATCCTCGAACTGCATCTTCTGCATCTCTAGGATCTTCAAATTCCACAAAGGCAAATCCTGGAGGATTTCTGGCAATCCATACAGTCCTTAAGGGTCCATAGTAACTGAATGCCCTTTCTAACTCTCCTTTACCAGCACCAGTTCCCAGGTTACCAACATACACCTTGGTTTCTGTTTCAAAATCCAAACAGAACAAATGTTATTCCAAGTGTATCTTAAGTTTGAATTCATTCCTTCACAACAAACAACCCTTTGTTGTGCAAAGTATACATAATTTTGTTCTGGGGTGCGCAAAGCGACTTTGAGCCAGTAAGATATAGTACAACACTCAAGTGACTCTCGTGCCTTTTCAAGCCTCCCTGCAGCACCTGGGACTAAAAGGTGTGCGCTATCTTGCCTTTTATTTGGCGCTCTCCACCAATGATTAAAATTTTGCCTTAACCCCATGAAATAATGAAAGCCCGACTCGTGACCAAATTTTGGCGTTCTGATAGGATGGAAACCTGGAAAAACTCTGCAAAGGAGCGTGACAGATAAAAGGCGTGGGATGGGTGGGCCCCTCCCCTGTCCCGGTGTCCGAGGCGAGCTAGAGCGCGCGGGCTCCCGGTGAGGTCTACCGGGAAGCAGGGCCGCACCGGCTTCTACAGCAGGCGCAGGATCACCCAAATCCCTGCCCCAGAGTCAGAAACAACCACGCTAGAAACGGCTTAAATAAAAAAAAAAAAAAAAAAAGGGGGGGGGGAGCCGTCGCTGGTCGCAACGCTCTTTCCCCTCATCCTCCTTCAATTCAACCAGTTGCCGGGAGCGACCCGCAGCTTGCAGCTGCCAGTTTCATCCAGTTCCAATCCGACTCCGGGTCTTACTGCCCAGACCTCACCGCTCCAGTGGCGGGAAAACGCTGAGGAAAATGCGCCACCACAGTCGTCAATGTGCTCAAAATGGCAGCCGCGGCAGCCGAGGGCGGGGGTGGGGGGAAGGCGGCGGGCGGCAGTGCGGCGAAGGACGACACCACAGCGGCCACCGTCCCGCCACGTTCCAGCCTGGCCAGGAGAACAAAACTCCCCAGCGCCCGAGCCCCACACCACACACATGCCCTCCGGTCCTGCTCTCCCTCCTACACCCCGCCCCCGCGGCCTTCGGAGGGCATGCGCCGGAGCCGCCATTACGCACGCGGAATAACCGTCTCCAACCGCCGCGCCGACCCTACGGCCTCGCTCTGCTCGGGCCGCCACCGGCACCGTCTTCCCCCGGGCCCTAGCCGCTCACCTCCTCCATACCGCCCGTAACGTGACATGACGGCTGGCCCGCGAACTCGGTTCTAGCTCGTAGTGTTCACAGGGCGAGTAGCACGGAAGCAGCTGCACGTTGGACCTCTTCGACACTCCCGGCGGCACTACAAGGAAGAGGCTGGATTCACGCTTATATATGCGGCGGGCCGGGATTTTTTTTTTCTCCTGCGCATGCGTTGTGTCAACGTTCTGCGCGGCACAAAGGAGCAGGGCGGAAACAACCTAGAGGCGGGGCGGAGGGAACTAAGAGGCGGATCGAGTCGCGGGCGGAGGGATACGTTGCCATGGGAACGCCAAGACCTTGCCAATAAACCTGTGGCCTCCCCGGCGGCATCCTTCTCCCTCCCCTCCCCTTCCCCTTTCCTGAACCCTACGGATCCTCCTTTACCTTCTCCCAACCCTTCTACCCCTTCATTTTAACCTAGGAACTGACAGCGCTAGTAACCGTAGTGCAGGAGCTTTAGACCGTTCTGTGAAAGTCTGTAAAATTTAACCGCTGATGTCGCTGTCGCCACCTTTCGTTTTGGGGTACCTGGCCTAGTCTTCTACTCGGTGATCTTTGAGACTCATCAGAGGTAATTAGACTGACCAGAATGAAAACGACCAGTCCCCAGCCATTCTGCTTATGATCATCGCAATACAGGCCTCAAAAAGGGGGAACTTCCCCCAGGGACTCTAGTTAATACCTCTCCTGTTTGCACCGACTGACAGTCCCTTATGCAGTCAGTCACTGATTTGTAACCAAGTTTGTTCTGAATCCCTGGGAGTTTGCTTTAGAAAGGGGTAGAGTAGAGGGGAAGGGGTTCTGGCAATGCTGAAATTGTGGCAAAACTAAAAGTTTGCAAGCCTACTGAGCCGGGACAATTCTTAAATTCCTTGCACCTGATTCACAAAGTATTTAGTTTTTCCTTCTAGTGCTTTGGAGCTTTTTAAGTTGTCTTTGAGTTTTTACTTAAAACCTTACAGCTCAGCCACTCAAATAAGTGAAATTCTCGTCTCTAGACTGCTTAGATCTACCTTTGATTTTACAAAATGTGTTTGTCAGAAGCAAGCTCTGAAAATAGAGTTCAGTTCTTTTTATCAACCCCCCCATACAGACATTACATCATAACTACTTGGAACACTCTCGAGTTGGAAATTTTACACATATAAGAGGAAATCATTAGGTATGTGTATTTTAATCTTTTTTTTTTCTCCATTTGGTGTGTATACATGCAGGTGTAGAGTACAGAGAAAGGAGACCTACCTGGTCAAAAAGCATGAGACTCTTAAGTGCTACCAATTTATAGATACGTTGGTTTTCAATATTTCAAATCAAGGTGTCTCAACAAAATGGTGAGAAAATAGAACCTGTATGCAATATATTATATGTGTTCTACTTTGGTCTTACTGGTGTGCTTGCTTGCCTGCCACAGGGTTTCCTGAAGTCTGGGCTGGCCTCAGATTCACTATTTATAAACCCAGAGTTTTTATGCATGCTAGAGATACATTCTTCTAACTGAACCACATCCCCAGCCCCTGGCTTTTGTTTCATCTGCTTCTCTCCTGAAAGACTTTTATACTTTCCAAAGGAATAGCAACTTTATAAACCTTATTAATTTCAATTTTTTGTTTGTTTGGTTTTGTTTGTTTGTTTGTTTGTTTTTTGAGGCAGGGTTTCTCTGAGTAGCCCTGGCTGTCCTGGAACTCGAATTGCAGACAGTGCTAGCCTGGAACTCACAGAGATCCACCTGCCTTTGTCTCCTGAGTGCTGGGAATAAACGTGTGGTCACCATCCTGACCTCCAGCTTCAGTTTAAATAAATCTACTTAAGTCAACAAATATTCTAATATTTGTTAATATAAGCTATGGAGAAACTGTTTGTTTTTTGAGACAGCTTTGGAGGCTGTCTTGGAACTAGCTCTCATGGACCACACTGGTCTCAAACTCATAGAGATCCACCTGCCTCTGCCTCTGCCTCTGGAGTGCTGGAATCAAAGGCTTGTACCACCACCTCCCAGTCTTATATGTTGTGGTTGTTAAATCTTGGCAATGTTACCGTAACTTTAAAGTTGAATGTTGTGACACATATCTGTGATCTCAGCATTAAGGAGGCTGAGGCAGGAAAATCAGAGGCCAACCTGGGTTACATAGTAAATTATAGGTCAGTTTGATCTGCATAGGAAGACCCTGTCTTTGAATTGAAAGAGGGGGTGTGGAATATTAAATTTTTTTACATCAATTTTCAAAATTTATCTTCATATGCTAAATTTAACATTTCCAGAAAAAAGTTAAACAGTCAGTTTTGGTGATGGTGTTTGTTTATTGAAACAGGATCTTTCTACTTCCATCTTCCAGAGTGCTGAAGAAACAGTTCTTTTTTTTTTTTTTTTTTAACAGCAGTGGAGATTGCACCTAGTGCCTAAGGCATATGCAGGAGGCAAGGGAAAACTTCACTTTGAAATCCTACTTCCTTCACTGTTTTACTTTCATTTTTGAAATTATTGTCATCATTAAGTCAGAAGAGGAATATTCTAAAACAAGAAAAGACAAGCAATTTAAATCTGTTGTACAGCTCTCTCTCTCTCTCTTTCCCTCTCTCTCTCTCTCTCTCTCCAAAAATAACCTAGCAGAGAGGTGGTGGCTTGCACCTTTAATCCCAGAACTCAGGAAGCAGAGACAATCAGATCTCTGAGGCCATCCTGATCTACATAGTTCCAGGACAGCCAACACTACACAGAGAAACAAACAAAAAGGCTGGAGAGGTTAAGAGCACAGGCTGCTCCTCCAGAGATCCTGAGTTCAATCCCCAGAAACCACATAGTGGCTCACAACCATCTATAATGAGATCTGGTGCCCTCTTCTGGTTTGCAGGTATACATAATAAGTAAATCTTAACCAAACAAGCAAACAAAAAGAAATAATCTACAAGAATGGCCTTTTAATATATATTTATGTATACTCTACAAACTCATGTACATATGCACTCACTGCCGGTTATTCCAAATATTCATGCTCAGCTACATATTTTTATTCTTTTTCTATATGTCATGATTATCTGATCCTCAGAATGCTTTTGGAAATTCTTGAAAGGGAAAGTTTATAGAATATATAATTTTTCATATTATAAAAAATGTACTCCTCAGCCAGGCATTGGTGGCTCACACCTTTAATCCCAGCACTTGGGAGGCAGAGGCAGGTAGATTTCTTTGATTTGAGGCCAGCCTGGTCTACAAAGCTACACAGAGAAACCCTGTGTCCAAAAAAGAAAAAAAAATGAACTCTTCATTATACAACATACACCTGATGAGCTTGGAGTAATTTGGCCACCCTTCGAGAAACAGGGCGTGGTAGCTCATGCCTGTAATCCCATCACTGAACCAGCTGAGTTAGGAGAATCCTGGGTTTGAGGACAGCCCCAGCTAACATAGAAGACTGGGAGTGGGGTGTGGGAGTAGGCATGTGATAGTAAAACTAAGAAGAAGAAAACTAATGCAAAAGATGGTTAGGAGTTTAAAGCAGTCGAGGGAATTGCCAGGTTTTCTGAGGAACTCCTTGTTACACTAAAAAACATAAAAAGTAAAGGATCTTGATGCCCTTAACAAATCAATCATGTTCTCTCTATAAAGAAAGAATACTGATGAGCAGGAATAGATCAGATTTGTCTTAACTACAGAGCTAGCAGTATTTATTTATTTATTTATTTATTTATTAATTTATTATTTGAGACAGGGTTTTTCTGTGTAACAGCCCTATCCTGGAACTGCTCTGTAGATAAGGCTGGCCTTAAATTTACAGAGATCCATTTGTCTCTGCTTCCCAAGGGCTGGGAGTAAAGGCTCCAACAAGAGAGCTCTTTCTTAATGTGTAAGGCTACAAGTTTAATTCTCAGTCTCCCCCACCCCCCAAAACCATTTTAAAATTCTGAGAGACTGGGGGTAGCTCAGTAATAAATATTCATGAGGCCTTAGGTTTTATTCCTAACACCATAAATAAGCAAATAGAAAAAAAAATCCTATGGGCATAGTAATGCATGCCTATAAACACAATCATTTGGAAGGCAGAGGGAAATAGGGCCAAAGGAAGCTCTAGGCAAGTCTGATTTACACAGCACATTCCACATTAGCTAGGGCTATGTTGTAAGACCCTGTCCCCAAAAAAGCAAAAATGGGTTGGGGAGATGGCCCAATGGATTAGTGCTGCTGTGCAACCCTGAAGGGCTGGAGTTCTGATCCTAGGACTCACACTAAAGCATGGCAGTAGTTATGCATGGCAGTAGTCCTGCATGCCAGTAATCCTGGTTACCTATAATCCCAGGGGCTAGATACAGAAATGGGATCCCTGGAGCAAGCTGGCTAACTATATTACCCAGAATCATGGCACTCTGGATCCAGTGAGAGACTCTACCTTAGCAGTTAAAGTAGAAAGCAACTAAGGAAGACACTCAATGTCAAAATTGGGTCTCGGGCCTCCACATACATATAACAGGTGCATCTGTGCATACATGTGCATTCACACACATGACAACATGTATGCATATGCTCATGCATACCACACATACATAAAGTCACAATAACAACAGCAAAAACCTAGAACTATTTCCTGGACATCTTTGTTCATGTTAACAAACACTTATGAATGCCTGCTTTGTAGGAGTGTGCTGAAATAGAGATATAAGGGTGAATAAAACAGTTCTGCGGTTGGCTATAAGAGCAGATATAGGAATAATTTTAATAATAGTGAGAGAAGTACTGGTCCTCAAACAATGTTTTGAATGGTTATGCTAACTAAATGGATAAGGTTTTAGAACGAGCAAAAGTTGAGCTGTGGAGAATGAGATTCTATGTCATATCATTTGAAAATAATTTTGTTAAGGACAGAATGAAGGCAGCTTTGTCCTTAGGCTGAATCTGGCTATCACCTTGGTGCCTCTGGGTAACCTTGATAGAGCCACTATCCTTAATTTTATCCTTAGTTCCATTGGTTGCTTTTGCAATGTTGTGGATAGAACACAGGGCCTCATGAATGTGAGGCAAGAACTCTCTACCACTGCACTGCATTTTCAGAAGTACTTACTGCTGTTGCCACCACAAGATTAAGTTCTTTCTCAGTGCACCACATGGCTATCCTACGAGCAGCAAGTTTTCTAGGGATGGGTGTGACTAACTTTGCTTTTCAAAGGTTATTGATTATCTCTGCTAATTCCTTGAAACATAAGTCGTAAGTCAAACATTTCTCTAAAATAACACCTAAAATGGTACTCCAACATTTTTAAAAAATGTAACATTATTTTCCTTTTCCCCTCCTTATTAAAATCTGCATTTCTTTGCTGGGCATGGGGGCCCACTCCTTTTTATCACAGCACTTGGGAGGCAGAGACAGATTTCTGTGAGTTTGGGCCAGCCTGGTTCAATGAATGAGTTCTAGGACATAGGGCTGAGTAGAGAGACCCTGTCTCAACACCCCTCATAAACAAACAAACAAACAACCTTGTGCCAGCGACAATATACATACAATATTAAGAATAGTGTAGGTGATTTTTCATTTCCATCATCTTTGTCACTTAGACTGTATAATACCCAACTTCCTTAGTCTGAACTAGAGAAATATGTAGGTATCCTTTCTAACCAGGTTCTTGTCTCATATTGAGAGATTTTGCAGCCTTCACAGTCGAGTTCTATCTTAGAATTCACAGCAACAAGAATTTATTAAATTTGTACAGTGGCTAACTGGGGACAGAAGAACTCTGCTGCTTAGCAAGGGTTTATTTTGTTTTGTTTGGTTGGTTTTGGTTTTTAGAGACAGGGTCTCAGTGTATAACAGCTCTGGCTTTCCTAGAACTCATTCTTTAGACCAGGCATATAAAGCAATCCTCTCCTTGTCTGACATAGATCATAGAGAATACCCTAATGCTGCATCTCACAGCTAGTCTTGCATTTGCCTCCATTTTAACAGCAACACTTGAGACTGAGCTTTGTGTGGAAGAAGAGCCCCTGGTCAGGAGTTGCAGCAGCTACTTTCATTGCAAGTCCACTTCAGATATTCCTGCCTCTAATCAAGGAAGCAAACATGTCACGGTTCCTAAGAAATGAGGACAATGAGGAGAGCATGCTAAATATGTCTGTTAGTCTAAGCGAAGGGGAAAGTGATAGGATGGCCAGAGTAACTAGGTCACTCAGTCTAAGAGAAAGTGAACCAGAGGACAAGTTTGAGGATGCCCATGAAATTATCCCTGTGGCAACAACAATGAATCTCTTATCATCCTTGGAAGAATGTACAACTGGATTGTATTTGTTTCTAAATAACAGATTCTCCGATGCAATCAATCTTATCCACCCATGGTCAAATAACAGCCCATACCATGCCCTGATATACAGTATGCTTATGATTGTCAAGGCCATCCTCACTTTTGAGCCACAGGATATTCAGATTGGAATGAATGCTGCAAAGGAAGCTTTGAAAACCTGCAACAATTTTCGGAAAAGACCCAGGATGATGACTTTATCTCGCCTAGTGAGTAGGCAGGGAATAAAGTCTATCAAAGAGGAGGAATTACATGCCGAAGTGTGTTATGCTGAGTGTCTGATCTTGAAGTCTGCCATAACATTCATACAAGATGACAGTTTGATGAGTTTCCTTAAAAGTGGCATCAATTTTGGGTCAAGCTATCAAATATACAAAGACTGCCAACAGGTCTTAGAACTTATGCCTGATAACCAAAGTAAAACCCACAGACACCTGGATGGAGGGGTAAAGTTTGGACTTGGAGTATTCAATCTCATGTTCTCACTTGTGCCACCAAAGTCACTTAAACTTCTCAATATTGTTGGCTATTCTGGTGATAGAGAAGTAGGCCTGGCTTTACTTCACGAGAGTGCATCTGAGCCTCATATCAATAACATCCTAAGTGTTTTCACTCTTCTCTTTTATTACAATTACGTGCGTGTAGTTGTTGGTGTTGAAAAGGCTTCCACTTCTGCTACAGAGAGTCTCTTCCTAATCTACCTAGAGAAATTCCCCAACTGTGTTGTACTTAAATTTTTTCGTGCACGTTTTAGCATGCTGAATGGAAATTTTGAAACTGCACAGTTAAAGTTACAAGAGTGCATTCTTACGCAGAATGAATGGAAGCAGGTTCATCACCTCTGTTACTGGGAACTAATGTGGTGTCATATTTTTCTGCAAAATTGGAAGCAGGCATACAACTATGCCAATTTACTGTCTCAACATAGCAGGTGGTCTAAGGCAATATATACCTATAGCAAAGCTATAATAATGGCCTTGCTTCCTCCTAATTCTGTGAACTCAGAAAATGAGAGCATGAGCTCTGTCTTCTTACATGTGGACAACCTGAGAATTAAATTTTTAGGCTCCTCTGTGCCAATAGAAAAGTTTATTGCTGAGAAAAGTCAGCGCTATGGTACTACGACAGGCTGGTTTACAGCACAACCCCTTCTGGAATTCATCTATGCTTGGAGTGGCTTCCGAGTCATGAGCAAGAAAATAGAGCTCATTTCAAGCTGGCTGTCGATAATTGACAAAGGGAAAGACCTTTTGAATGAAAACCCGAATGAAGAGTATGGCACAGATGACATGAGCTTGTTAAATTTGCTGAAAGGCCTCTGCCTGAAACACTTGGGCAAACATTTGAAGGCTGAGCACTACTTTATTCGTGTTATCAAGAAGGAGAAAATGTTAAAATATGACCGATATTTGGTGCCATATAGTTACTATGAACTGGGAATGCTGCATTATCTGAAGGGAGATTATGCCAGTGCAACAAAAAACCTAGACTACATAAAGAACTATAAAAACTATTCCATGGAAGCCCGGCTACAGTTTAGGGCTCATATTGCCCTTGAACAAATAGCTAAATTAGAAAAGTGATTTTTAACCCAGTGTGTTTCTGTTTAGTATGAGTGGAATATCGGTCAAGTAATTAGTGGATAGAAAAGTAATTCCTATGTGAAAAACAATCCAAAAGGCAGCTTCTAAGAATCTGATCACTAAATAAGAAAGGAATATGCCCTTTCTCTGCCCTCTCTCCTTCTCCTTATCCATAAAATGCAATGCTTAGCCTGAAAACTGGAGTGATGCACATTCTTGGAAGAGAAAAGGCAAATGCTGTACATTGCAAAAATATTCATGATTTTATTCCATTAACAGTTTTAAAACCTCCAAAGGCTTAGCCTCCCACTAGATAATGAATATGTCCTGCACAGAACATAGTGAATACTTAACTGGTAAAAACTGGTAAAGAAATGACCTCAGCATCTTCCTGTTTAAAAATTAATATCACCCTGAGTAGTGTGATATACTCCATTTATAACCCTATGATGATAATTGGAGATCAAGAGGATGATAATCATAGTCCATTGGGTTTAAAAAAAAAAAAAAGACTGGGAACATGGCTTAGCAAATAAAGCATTTGCCACATCAGCACGAAGGCCAGAGTTTGGCTCCCCAGAACCCAGGTAAATTCTTCTGGGTGTGTGTGTGGCAATCCCACCTGTAAGAGGTGGGAGGAGGTGGGGTCCCAAGAACAAGCTGGCTTGTTAGATGAGCAAGCTTCTGGGAGCTCTAGGTTCAGCTAAGAGACTGCCTCAGTAAAATGGAAAGCAATCAGAGCCTGCTAATATCAAACTCAGGCCACCACATGCATAGGCACATACATACAAACAGCACACATGTGTTCACATGTGTGTTCACTTGGGAATAAGCAAACATGGGCACACCATACACAACTGAAAAAATTAAAAATTAAGAAACATTTTAAGGGAAGAAAAGATGAGGCCATTTGGAGGTACAGTTAGTGACTGATGAACTCTTGCTTTCATTGTCCTACAGTGTAATTTCTATTTTAAGAGCAGCTAGCTTTTCAACATCATTAATTCATTTGATAGGCCAATCTGAGAGCAAGTGGTAGTTATAGATTTAGGACTCAGTATTTTTTTTTTTTTTTACCTGCCTCAGGGATAAAAACTAGTCCCCACAATTTCCAGACCAGTGAATTGGGCTGAGTACATCCTTCATCCTTACAGTTACCTTTTGGGAAACAGCCTGGCAAGGTGGTCCAGGCTTATAACCTTGTTGTGAGCACAGGCTGATGTAGGAGGATTCAAGTTCTAAACAAGCCTAGGCTACATAGAAACCCTGGTTAAGATTTATTTTCAATTAGTGTATGAGTGAGGGGGCTGGCAGGAAGAGAGAGGAGTTACAGGCAGTTGTGAGCTGCCCAATGTGGGTGCTGGGAACCCAACTCCAGTCCATTTGGAAAAGCAGTTCACATTCTTTTTTACTTTATGTATTTGTTTTTCTGAGACAGGGTTTCTCTGTGTAGCTTGGCTGTCCTGGAACTCACTCTGCAGACCAGACTGGCCTCAAACTCAAGAGATTCCCTTGTCTCTGCCTCCCTAGTGCTGGCTGGGATTAAAGGCATGTGCCAACACCACAATATTCTATAGTCAAAATTAACAATATCTTCAACCCTACTCATTCATGCATTAAAAAGAAACAGAGTTGAAGAAATGGTTCAGCAGTTAAGAGCACTGCCTGCTCTTCTAGAGGACTCAGATTCAATTCTCAGCACCCACACGGTAGCTCACAACTGTAACTCCTGTTCCTGGGGATCTGACACCCTCACACAAACATACCTGGAGGAAAAACACCAATGTACAAAAACTAAAAATAAATTATTAAAAAAAAAGGTATGATCATGCAGTACCTACTTATCAAGGGGCTAAGGCTAGAGAGTTTCTAGACGAAAGAAGAAAAAAAAATCGCAGTTTTTAACCATGCATGGTAATGGATACTTGTAATCCCAGTACTTGAGAAATGGAAGCTGGAGGATCAAGAGTTCAAGACCAGCATCAGCTGCACAGCAAGTTAAAGGCTAAACTGGGCTAAATGAGACCCCACCTAAAAAAAAGGAATTCTAGTTCTTAGCAGAAAATATAGCAACAAAACTAAAGCAATATTTTATTTTTAAAAAATTTATTTACGGCCGGGTGTCGGTGGCCCATGCCTTTGATCCCAGCACTCAGGATCGGGAAGCAGAGGCAGGTGGATCTCTATGAGTTCGAGGCCAGCCTGGTTTGCATGGTGAGTTCCAGGACAGCCTCCAAAGCTACACAGAGAAACCCTGTCTCGAAAAACAAAACAAAAAAAAGTTTATTTACTTTATATACATTGAGTTTTTGCATGTATGTCTGTGTGAGGATGTCGGATCCCCTGAAACTGGAGTTACAGACAGATGGAACTGAACCTAGGTCTTCTGGAAGAGCAGCCAGTGCTCTTAACTGCTGAGCCATCTCTTTAGCCCCTATAGCAATATTGTCTCTGGGTGTTTACATGCATGTGGGTATGTAGTGTGGGTGTGTACACAGAGGCCAGGGGTCAATGTGAGTGACCTTCCTCAATCACTCCTCCACCTTTGTGTGTGGTGCATACTGGTATGAATATGCTGGCCAGGCAGGCTCATATATATACCAGACAGAGGCTGCTATTAAAATGTCTGCATCAGTCACTTCTTTACATTTATTATTATTTGAGATAGGGTCTCACCATGTACCTCTGGCTATCCTGGAACTTGATAATGTAGATCAGACTGGCTTCAGACAGAAATCCATCTGCCTCTGCCTCTCTAGTGCTGGGATTAAAGGCATGAGCCTGCTTCCACTGAATTTTTTGAGACAGAGTTTATAAAACTAAGAACTTGCTGCTTTGGCTAAAATGGCTGGATAGTGGGCCTGCAATCTGCCAGTCAAGGCCCCCAAGCCCTGAGGTTATTGAAGCACACTGCCATGCCAGGCTTGTATGTGGGTGTAGAGGATCCAAAATCAGGATCTACCTCATGCTTGTGCAAGACTTTTACACACTGACCCATCTCACAACCTTCTACCTTGGTTTTGTTTGGTTTTGTTTTGTTTTGTTTTTTTTTTTTTTTTTGAGACAGGGAATTCACTATGCAGACCAGGTTGGCCTCTGCCTCCCTACTGCTGGGATTAAAGGTGTGTACCAACCTAAAACACTCCTCTGTGTGAGTTCTCAAGTGTGTACTTCTGGAAGTCACCACAGGACTTGTAGGAATTAGTTCTTTCTTTTCACATATGTCCCAGAGATCAAACTCGGGCAGTGAGGAATAGTGTGGCAAGTTCCTCTAACTAAAAGCAAACTCACCGGACTACAGGAGCTCATCTGGTTTCTCGGGTATGAACTCAGGCTCTCATACTAATAGCCATCATCCCAGCCCATTGTATCCTCTTTAAAAATAAAAATTAATTTATGCATGTGGGAGATTTGCTTGCATGTATGTCTGATTACCACATAGGTGCTTGGTGCCCTGATGGCCAGAAGAGTGTCAGTTCCTGGGAGTTGTAGACAATTGTGAGCCACAATGTGGGTGCTAGGGATTGAATCCTGAACAGCCAGTGCTCCTAACTACTGACCCATTTCTCCGGCCTCCTAATATATTCTTTTTCTAAATTTGTTTTCTGTTTCTTTCTCCCTGTCTCTTCTTTCTTGTGTGTATGTATGTGTATGCTATGCATGTTTCAGGCAACCTCAGGTGTCATCCTCAGAAAATCTACCTCTTTTGAGACAGAATCTCACTGGTCCAGAATTTGACAATTACACTACTAAGTCCCAGGGATCTTTCCATTTCCACTTCCCAGCCTTGGGATTACAAATGAATACCACCGTGCTGAGCTTATTTTTTATGCAAACACTTTATCAATGCAGCCATTCCTAGCTCAACAATATATTCTCGATGACTAAGCATATTATAAAGAGACTGATGGGCTCTACCAGGCCTGAGCATGGCAAATATGGCCCACAACAGGTTTTGCCTTTTACCCTTCTCCCCCTTGCTAAAAACTGTTAGATTACAGTCCTAAAGCTAGCCCCACAAGGTCCATTCCCTCATTTGGCCACTAACTCATTCCTGAGACAAAACATCAAAGTCCAGCAATCAAAATTCATTATTTAAGTAATACATCCACTCAGGATTTACCAATGCACCACCCTAGCACAGGTTCTCTGTTGCCTTCCCTTTAAAAACCCATTCCTGCAGAAACATCTGCTTGCTGGTTGCTTTTTGCTGCTACTGTTGTCTTTGCAACCTCCCTGCCCCCTTTCCCCTCTGGGGTAACACATTTCCTTTGTGTTGAAAATTTGGTGTCTAAATGTGTCTTGTATTGATTGGGGTGGGATCCTCCCCTACAGAGATACTTCTATTGGCTGGTAATAATACAAAGAACAGAAAAGCTAGAATATTTCATAGGTGCTACACAATACTTGCAACTGGAATTTTTTTTTTTTTTTTGATGACAGGACTGGCTTGAACTCCCTATGTAAGTCAATTGGTCTTGAACTTTTCAAGATCCGCTTACCTCTGCTTCCCAGATGCTGGAATTAAAGGCCTGTGTGCCATGTGTGGCCCACATACAACTTAAATTTCTGATAGTTTGGAAAGGTATTGACCTCCTTGTCTCCAAAACAAAATAAAAATAAGTCTAAAAAGAAAACATAGTTCAAAGCTTTTATTTTGCAGTAAAGAATGAAGCTTAAAATGCAAGTGAACAGTTGGCTCAAAGCAGTTGTAGTAGCTCTTTTATCCACACTCTTAATAACTTGGAATTTACATTAGCTCTTTGTAGATTTACAGAGGGGTTTAATTGGCAAAATCAAACTTAATCCATGAAAGCCACATTAATATAAGCAAGACTTTTCAATCAGTGTAGGTTATTTGGTATGGAATTCCAAATGGTAATAAAAGTTGACTCATTAATGTTTTTACTCCTTGGCCTGATAATCTTCGAGCATTTTTTTTTTTTTTAAATCACCCTAGGTTTTCTCGTACAGTCAAGAATCCAGCATTTACTACCTTGCACCACTTTTCAGTATCACAGTGTCGAAGAGTCTGTAGTATATCAGAGTCCAATTAACTACGTGCTCAAATATCTGCAGCACGGCTTATAATGAGTGACGGCATTCAGTCCAATCCAACATTAGTCTTTGCAGCTTCCGCACTGCCCTCGGAGACTGCTAGCACGTCCTAAAGGCTCACGCATTTTAACTGCTCCAAACGAGCCAAAGGAGAATCCGCGCCATTCACTTCAGTTTCTAGAGGGCTTTGTGTTAAATTCTTGGCAAAAGCACATTTTCATGTCTATTTGTTCTGAGAACACGGTACGAACATTTTTCTCATAAAAATAACTTGAACTGTTCACGGAAGCAGTGAGAACTCGGGTTTCTCAGCACACAGACTGCATGCAGCTCCGATACTCCGCCCCTTAACCAAAGGATGGAGGCAAAAACTACGGAGCGGAGGATTCTGGGGAAGGAAATGACGTCAGGAGCAAAGCATGCTGGGCTTAGGCAGGACGCCTGAAGGTAGCTTGGTCCGGTGAGAGATAAGTGGAGCTGTAGCATTGTGTTTCTGCGGCGTGTCTCTAGGTTGTCGGAAATAAGCAGCTGGCGCAAAACCCGCGGAGACTCTCGTCTAGAGAGAGTAGGTGGGAAGGCGAGAACTCCGCGTCAGTTATGCCTATACGGGGTTTATTTTACTACTTTTTCAAGACTGGGTTTCTCTGTGGTTTTGGAGGCTGTTCTGGAACTACCTCTTGTAGACCAGGCTGATTTCTAACTCACAGAGATCTGCCTGTCTCTGCCTCCCGAGTGCTGGGATCAAAGACGTGCACCACTACCACCCGGCTTTTATTATATTTTATTTATTTATTTATTTATTTATTTATTTATTTATTTATTTTTGCTTTTTCGTGACAGGGTTTCTCTGTGGGCACATACGGGGTTTAGGGCGAAATCCTTTTATCTAAGGAAAGCGAAGCTGAGGGTTTCAGTGTCATCTGAATTCAAAACCAGATTCAAAGCCGTATCCAGAATTGGGAGAAGGGGGGGTGGGAATGGACATGCCAGAGGAGTTTCAGAATCACTGTAGCTACGTTATAAATAACTTTTGTTTTCCAGGACATGGTAAAACACAAAACATTCTCAAGACTTTTCTCCGATCACAGGATCAATTTCTTATTCGAAAAATGGGCTTTTTCGTTGTTCTTTTTGAGGTTGGAGACACATTTGTTAACCAGGCTGGTCTCAAACTGTTGGTCTCACTTGTTACTAGTAGTAGGACGGTAGTATTATGTATTAGTGCTTATTTGTATTAAAAAACTTAACCAGGGCTACACATAGAAACCCTGCCTCGAAAACAAAACAAAAAACCCAAAAATAAAAAAGAAAGGAACTTGTTAACAAATTTGAGGCAAATTGCAGACGTTGCTGTCTTCAGAAGGGAGATGAGGGGTTAAGACATTTGCTTGTATGTGATTAACCCAAACTGGTAACTGTTTTAGATCTAGCCAGCTGATAACCATGAGTGAATGGATGAAGAAAAGCCCCTTAGAATGGGAAGACTACGTTTATAAAGAAGTCAGAGTGATAGCCAGTGAGAAGGAGTATAAAGGATGGCTTTTAACTACAGACCCAGTTTCTGCCAAGTGAGTATGCATCTTACTTTTTGGAAGTAACGACCCAGTGTACTGCCTGGATATCTAAGATGAGAAGGCAGATTAATCAAAGGCTGGTTATTCACATATAAGAACTGCTTTGAGCCTAAATGCTGTTTTAATTATGGGTCACTATAGCAAACTAGACACAATTATAGGAACAGAAAATAGAAATTCTCTTTTCCTTTCACAGGGTCTCATGTAGCCCAGCCTGGCCTTGAGCATGCTATGTAGCTAAAGATGATTTTAAACTTCAGATTCATCTGCTTTTACTTCCTGAATGTTAGGATTAAGGATTAAAGGTGTGAGACATTGCAGCCAACCTTTTTTTTTTTTTTTTTTAAGTCTCATAAAACTCAGGCTAATCTCAAATTCATTATATAGCTGAGGATAAACATGAACTTCTGATCCTTCTATCTCCACCTCCCAAGTGCTGAGACTTAATTGTGAACCACCATATCCAAATATGAGAACTTGTCTCAAAAAATGAAAAGAGGGTTGAGGATACATAGAGAGGGTGGTGTGTGTGGGGGGTTGCCACACCATTTACTGGTAAATTCTATGCTTTTTGAAGTACCAAGTATTTATTTGCTTGTTTATTTTTTGAGACAGCCCCCCCCCACCTTTTTTTCTCTTGTGTGTAGCTCTTGCTGTCCTGGAACTTGTTTTGTAGATCATGCTGGCCTCAAACTCTCAGAGATCCGCCTGCCTCTGCCTCCCGAGTGCTTGCATTAAAGGCATGACTCTCATACTAGGCTGAAGTTAATATTATCTTGATATTAGAAGTAGAGGACAGGGTTAAAAAAAAAAAAGGAAAATCATAAGTTAATTCCACTTATGAATAAAAATATCAAAATCTTCACTAAAATACAGTTTACTATGTTATAACAAAAGAATTTCACTGCTGAAGCCACGTGAAGTGGTGCACGATTTTAATCCCAGAACTCCGATGCAGAGTCAGTCGGATCTCTTGAGTTTGTGGCCAGCCTGGTCTACATAATGAGTTCCAGGTAGCCAGGGCTACAAAGAGACCTTTTTTTTTTTTTTTTTTTTTTTGAAAAAAAGAATATCACTTCTGTGCTACTCTTCCAGAGAGCCTAGTAATTCTTAGTATTTACGAAAGAAAGCTTCACACAACCAAAAATTGAGACACTTTAAAAAAAACACCTCACTAGTACTTTTCAGAACTCTCAAGCTCATAGGAAGCATATAAAGACTGAAAAACATATTAGAGGAGAATAACGAAACATGAGAACTAAATGTAACCTAGAATCTTAAATTGGAAATTGGATCTTGGGTTAGATCTTAGAGCAGAAAAGGCCATCAATGTAAAACTCAGTAATTTTTTTTTTTTTTTTTTTATTTTCTCAGACAAGGTTTCTCTGTGGCTTTGGAGGCTGTCCTAGAACTAGCTCTTGTAGACCAGGCTGGCCTTGAACTCACAGAGATCCACCTGCCTCTGCCTCTGAGTTCTAGGATCAAAGGCTTGTACCACCACTACTGGGCAAAAACTCAGTATTAAATGACACCCGTGGTTTAGTTCATGTAAATTCTTATTTTTGACAGAGGTACCCCCAGTATGTATGATGTTAACTCAGGGAAGCTTAGTGAAGAGAGCATGGATACTCGGTAATGTCTTCCATTATTCAGAAGACCTCCTCAAACAAAAAGTCAACGTTTAATACAAAAGGCCTAATTTTGTTATAATCAGGAGTGGCAGCCAAGCATTTAATCCCAGCACTCGGGAGGCAGAGGTAGGACTGTCTGTGTTCTTTGAGACTGTCCTGATCTACATAGCGAGTTCCAAGTCAGGTAGAGCTACAGAGTGAGACCCTATTTCAAAAGAAAAGAAAGAAAACCAGAAAGGTAGGGTCTCACCAAATTGCTCAGGCAGGCTTTGAGTTTGTGATCCTCCTGCTTCAGCCTTAAGAATAGCTGGGGTTTTAGGCCTTTGCCGCTAAGGTCTGCCCTGAGTTTCAGGATTATTGTCATAAATTTGTTCATAGTATGTTAAGCAGTGCTGCCTTATTCCTGTCCTAGTTTTGTGTCCCTTTTGTCTGTCTTTCCTAATGGGGTGTGTGTGTGTGTGTGTGTGTGTGTGTGTGTGTGTGTTTTGCTAGAGATTGAACCTAGGGTTTTATACATGACAGATGTGTACTCTACCACTCAGTTCTGACCCACTTTTCAACTTTTGGGTTTGATGATCTTTGATTTTAATTTTTAAATTTTGTTTTAATTCCTTTTTTTATGCTTTGTTGTTTTCTCTGGTCTACTTTGGTATATTCAGCTTGAAATTTATTTTTTAACAGGTTTATATATATGTGGTATATATACATGTAGGTATATGTGCATATTCATGTGTGCAGATAAGCATGTTCATAAGTAGATAAGGATCTAAAATTAATGACTAGTATCTTCCTCAATCACTCTCCACCTGTATATCGAGGCAGGGTTTCTCCTTGGAAACCAGAGCTTGCCAGTATGGCTAGTCTAGCCAGCCACCTTGCTCTAGGGAATCTTTTGTCTGTGTTGCCCACATGCTGGGATCCCAGATGTGCTGCTATACCCACCTGGCTTTTACTGTGTGCTGGGATCAAGTTTCATAACATTTTCTCTGCTGAGCTATCTTGGAGTCCTATTTTTTTTTTAATTCTATAATTAAATGTACACCCTGTCTTACACATATTTAAGACATCTAAAACTTTTTTTTTTTTAATCTTTGTTTGGTCAGTCCTGAGTCTGGTGGAGTAGGAACTCAGGAGGCAGAGGCAGGTGGATCCCTGTGAGTTCAAAGCCAGCTTAGTCTACAAGGCAACTTCTAAGATAGGCAGGGATACAGAGAAACCCTGTCAACACCTTCCTCAAAAACTAAACAAACAAACAAACAAACAAAAAACCCAATAACTGTTTGGAATTGGATAGCAAATCCAATACCATATAAATGGCACACTCTGCCATTGTATTGCACTTCATCCCTAACCCTAACCCACTCACTCTTTAGGCACTACATTGGCTATGTCCTGTGATTACTAGCTAGACAAGATGTTTAGATGTTTAGGATCTTAGTGAATGCTTGTGGAATAAGTAAAAGCATTTGGTGGTGAAATGGTTAATCTTCACTGGGGACAGTTGTTTCTTCCCTCTTGTCCAGGTGACTTGTTGGGTTGGTGATATCCCATTCCATTGCTTTTTCCTAGTTCTTGAGGTTTTTTTTTTTTTTTTTCAAATTACTCTGAACTTAACTTTTTCTTTGAAGTATTGTCCTGGTGAACTTCCTTGAAGATGGCATCTTTTCTGTGACTGGAATTATGGGACATTCTGTGCAGACTGTGGAAACTGTGAGTGAAGGAGACCACAGAGTAAGGGAGAAGCTGATGCATTTGTTCACATCTGGAGCTTGTAAAGGATACAGCCCTGAGGATCTGGAAAAGAGAAAGAGTAGCCTAAAGAAATGGCTTGAGAAGAACCACATCCCTGTCACTGAACAGGGAGATGCACAAAGGACTCTGTGTGTGGCTGGAGTTCTGACTATTGACCCACCATATGCTTCAGAAAATTGTAGCAGCTCTAATGAGATCATTCTGTCCCGTATTCAGGATCTCATTCAAGGACATCTTTCAGCTTCCCAGTGAGAGGCCACGCATTATGAACACACTGATCCAAATGACTCCACTGCTTGGTTTTTTGTTAAATCCTTCAAATGGAAGTTGATCATATTATAGGAGTTCAAAAGCACATGTGGAATGTATGTGTGTGTGTGTGTGTGTGTGTGTGTGCATGTTACATTTTTGTTTAGGTCAAATCAAATGAGTAGATCCTGGGTGCTGATTTCCCTGGGAAGTGACGGTACAAGAACAGCATCCCATGCACTTGAAATAAACACAGGGAAGTAATTGTAAGGAGCTTTTCTGTGATGAGCATAAATCACCCTTTTTGCAAAGCAAGAATGCATTTTGAATAGGTGTAACAATGTGAAATACATTGATAAATTTCAATATAAGATATTAAGGTTAAAAAAAATCAGTCTCAGGTCCCTTGAACTAACCAGATATGTTTTCTTAAAATGTTGGTCTTTGAGGCTGATTGATAACAACATGGTTTTTGAATTAGAGTAAGCTGTGGTTTGGCTGTGGCTTGTGACCCCTCTACATTTCTTGTGATGGGAACTTCTAACTTTAAGAGATAAGACGTGGAGCTAGAGAGATAGCTCAGCAGTTAGGAATACTAGCTGTTCTTCCAAAGGACTCAGATTCAATTCCCAGCATTCACATGGCAGCTCACAACTGTCTATAACTCCAGTTCCAGGGGACTTGACACTCACACACACATACCATATCATAAAAGGGTATAAACCATTAAAAAAAAAGAGATAAGACATAATGGGAAATGCAGGTGGGCAAACCCCTCTACTCAATGACCAGTCAAGGAGAAGCAATCAACAAGAGGCTTTTATTGAGCTAATGCACAATTGGGCATCAGCATTCTCCAGGGAACTCCAGGGAAGGCTGCCCGCCCAACAGAGTATCAAGGCTCCTTTTATAAGGCAAAACCACAAATTAGCATAGATACATTAGGCATAACATGATTGGCTATATTGACATTCTTACATTAGCATAAGGTCAAACTGAGGTAAGGGTTGTTTATGTTCCAAGAAAAAAAAAAAAAAAAAAAACACAAAATGTTCTTGGCCGGGTGTTGGTCCATCTGGGAGTTATTTATCTAAGGTCTTTCAAGGTCACTGAACGTATTTTCTAAAGAAGGGTTGTGGGACTTAGTTTCAGACTTTTCCATTTGGTGAGAGAAGCTCTTTTGCTTTGGTTGTTGTGGTGCCTCTGGGCAATAGAAAGTTCTTAAGTTGACATGCTCTCGCCTTTACCAAGATGGAACTGATGCTGTTACTGTCTTGTACCTCTGACACTGAGCTAAATTTCTCTTCATAAATAGCCTGTGTCAGGTATTTAGTTCATTTCAATCATCCAAAGCTGACTAATTATTTTTTTATGGTTGAAAGTTTTGGATGTTGGTTTTTTATTTTTTTGGAGACAGGGTCTCTGCATGTGGCTTTGGTTGTCCTGGAACTCACTATGTAGTTCAGGCTGCCCTCAAGCTCCCAAAGATCCACCTGCCTCTGCCTCCTAAGGCATACATGCCTCCTAAGGCATACACCACCATGTCCTCTCTGTTTTTGAGGGAGAGAAGAGATTAATGTTCTATTTATGTGTATTTGTGTGTCTGTGTGAATATATACCAAGTCTGTGCATGCCATGGAGGCCAGAAGAAGGTGTCAGATCTGGAGCTGGATTTGCAGGTGTGAGTTGCCCACTGTGGGAGCTGGGACCTGAATTAGGGTCCTCTGCAAGAGGACTCTTAGCCACTGATCTGTCCCTCTAGACCTAGAACTCTTTTGTTTTTTTAATAACCAAGGCTGACCTGAACCTCAATGAACCTGTTGCCTCAGCCTCAAGTATGTACCATCACACAGGCAAGAATTTGTATTACTAACAGACTCCTAGGTGGGTTTTTAAAAAAAATTTTTTTTTCTTATAATGTTTTTTTTGAAACAGGTTTTTACAATGTAGCCCTGGCTGATTTTTGACTTTTCCTTGTCCTCACAATCTGATTGTCAGTCTCAAGTACTGGGCTTGTAAGTGGGCCACCACACCTGGCTTTTCCTAACAGCCTTTAAGTATCATGATTCTAAAAGCAAAATTCAGTGACCAAGGCTCCTTAGAAATGTAATAGAGGAAGGAGAATAGGAAATAACTGGCTCAGCCACAGGAATGATTCTGCTCAAGTGATGATGCCCTTGGAAAGGGAGAAGCTATATAGGAAATTAACCACAGCATCACTCAGGCTTGACCTTGGCTGTCAAACTAGTCTATTGGGAACACACTGTTTCTTGGCAACTGAATGAGTCCTTTGTTTAAACAATCTGCCTGCAAATAAAACCTGGGCGCTGGAGAGGGCAAATGATCCTCTCTGCCTTGGAAACTGCTCCCAGTGCCTCAGCTGAGATGCTTCCAGAGAGCTTCCCTCACTTGGTTCTGACCTTCCCTCGAGCCTAGTGGTTGGAGGTCCAGGTTCTGAAGAGATAGTCTCCCAAAGCTGACTAGGTTTTCTGCTGGTTCTAGGTGACAGCCAGGGCTGTCTTTGAACATGATATCAATAATGCTTTTAAAAAAAAACAAAAGACTGGAGAGATGGCTCAGTGATACTGTTCTTCTAGAGGACCTTGGTTGGATTCCTAACACCCACATAAGTTGACACACAACCAACTCTTAACTGAAGTTCCAGGGACACCTAACACTGGCCTGTGTGGGCATCTGCACTCACAGGCACACCCTCACCCACATACACATAATTTAAAATAAGAAAAATAAATTATTATGCATTTGGGGGCATTCATTAAGCTTTTAAAATCTTACTTAATTTTACATTTTGGGTTTTTTATTGTTTTGAGACTGTGTAGTTTTGGGTGCTTTGGCACTCACAATGAGATCAGGCTGTCCTTGAACTCACAGAAATCTGTTTGCCTCTGTCTCCCAAGTGCTGGGGTTAAAGGCCCAGCTTGAGTTTTTTAAAAAATGGTTTTACAAGTAAAGTTTGTAGTAATTTTCTTCCCATGTTTGTCGGTTTGTCTGATATATTTGTCTGATATCCTAAACATTGCCGTTGTTTTTCTTTTTTCTTTTTCTTCAAGACAGGGTTTCTCTGTATTGCTTTGGAGGTTGTTTGTCCTGGAACTTGCTCTGTAGACCAGGATGGCCTCTGCTTCCAGAGTGGTGAGATTAAAGCCCGGCTTACTGTTGTTTCTTAAAGACATTATGGCTTAAATAGATTTTTCCCAAAATTAAGTTTTTTTAATTTTTTGGAACCGGTCAGATGGCTCAGCAGGTAAGGTAAGGGTACATGCCACCAAGCCCTGATGACCTGAGTTCCACAAGGTGGAAGCAGAGAATTGACTGCTGCAAGCATCCCACCCCCAATAAATAAATCTAAAAATAGATTTGTTGAAAAAAATAGAAGCCTTCACAGTCAACTCTTAATTTCAAGAGTGTTGAGGACAATGCGTGATACTTTGAAAGGATTGTGGGTTAACCATACGGGTTAAAGATTACTATCTAATTCATGCCTAGAACTTGAGAGAAATCACTATATTGGAAGTCTAAGTTATACACATTTAATTATTCCCACTTTGTTGGACCCTAATTCCAGGGTCCTGATGGGCTGGTGGGAGAGCCCTGCGACACAAACACCAAAAGCAGGAGATGCAACAAGCAAGAGGTGTTTATTGAACGAGTGCACTTGGGTGTTAGCAATCTCGGGGAAAGCTGCACACCCCTCAAAGAGTTCAGGCTCCTTTTTATAGAGACTAGCTGAAAATCAGCATACATGCATGGGTCACAAGGTGATTGATTACAAAGTATGATCTCATGTTTTAGAGATCACCCAGGTATGACCTGTTCTTATTCAAGGGATAAACCATAAAATGACTTGGAAAGTCCCCAGATTGTCTGTTGGCCAGGAGTGACCCAGATAGCGCTGTTCATCTGGAATCATTTGTTCCAGGGTTGGGGCCTATTTGCTTGTGGGCCAAGACCTGTGAGAAACTTTTTTCATACTCTGGCTTTCTCTTGGTTGTACATTTAGAGCCTTCAGTTATTCCAAAAAGGTTTGATGATTCAGTAACTAGCCCTGTTTAACAAGAACAGCCTAACATATAACCATTAGCCCCATCACCATAGTAACCTTTCTTGTTCTCATAATTTCTGTTCTTTCCTCCCATGTCATTGTCCATTCTTTATGATTTTCTGTATTCCGCTTGCAAGAACTATTTTCTTGCCCCTTTCCAACATCCTTGCTCTGCAAACTAAAATCTTTCACTTACCATTATAATTTTTATAAATATTATAACATTAAAAGATTTTGTTTGCTTGTTTGTTTTTATGAAAACCATCCCAGGGTTGGGCAGATGGCTAAGTGAGTCAGGTGCCTGTTGTACAGTATCATGATCTGATTTCAGGACTCCAGAATTCTTGTCTGATGTGGAGACATGAACCTGTAACCTCAGATCTGGGTTGGTGAGTCAGGAAGAACCTAGGGCTTGCTGGGTAGCCAGTCTAGCTGAATGACAAGTTCTAGGGTTAGTCCTGTCCTGAAAATTAAGATGGGGCTGGGGAGAGATCTCAGCAGTTAACAGCATTTGTTCTTGCATAGGACCCACATATGTGGCTTACAACTGCCTGAAACTCTCAAAACAAGGGTTCTGAGGCCTTTCTCTGGCCTCTTTGGGCATCTGCACAAGGTGGTACACATAGAAATATCCAGGCACATAAAACAAATAGATCTTTAAAAACTATAAGGTAGAGAAATGATTGAGGAAGACATCCTGAATCAACCTCTGACCTCAGAACATGCCTCCCTCATACATATGCATATACCACACACAAGCATGTCAGATGAGAAATTGTTTCCTTGTAGTTTCATCTTTGTTTCCTTTTCTCTCAACATCTCTCTCTCAACCTTTCTCAACTTCTCTCTCTCTGTCTCTCTGTCTCTCTCTCAGGTATCATATCCTAGGCTAGTCTCAAACTGTGGATGCAGCTGTGAATGGCTTTGAATGCCTGATCCTCCAGACACCTCCTAAGTGCTGGGATTACAGAAGTTACTTTTTAAGAATCTGTGGCTCAGCTGGTAAAGGCACTTGCTGCCAAACCTGTTTATCTCTGG